AATTGATGCTTTTGAACTATGGTGTTGGAGAAGACTCTTGAGAGTCCCTTGGACTGCAAGGAGATCCAACCAGTCCATCCTAAAGGAAATAAGTCCTGAATATTCATTGGAAAGAATGATGCTGAAGCTGAAACTCCAATACTTTGGCCACCTGATGCGAAGAACTGGCTCATTTGAAAAGACCCTGATGCTGGGAAAGATTGAAGGCAGGAGGAGAAGGGGACAACAGAGGATGACATGGTTGGATTGCATCACCAACTCAGTGGACATTGGTTTGAGTAAACTCCAGGAGTTGGCTATCGACAGAGAGGCCTGGCTTGCTGAGGTTCATGGGGTCACAAAGAGTTGGACGTAACTGAGCGACTGAACTGACTGACTGACTGATACTTTCATATTCTTGTTGTTCACCACAAAAACTTCTCATAACTTGGCATAGGGTTCAACCTCAGTTCTTTTCTTGCATCTGAATCTAGACTGAAAACAGATAGTCCCTCATCACTGGAGGGCTTCTATGTTCCACACTTTTACTTACTGTGCTGCCAAGGTCTGGAAGAGCACTGTTAAACCAGTTTTTAGAAGGATCACGTTGGGAGGTTATTTAAGATGTAATCTTCTGATGGTAACCTATAGTGATCATTTTGAAAAGTATTTGTTGTTATTTTCCAGTTGCTCAGTCATGTCCAACTCTTTGCAACCCCATGGACTGCAGTAGACCAGGCTCCTCTGCCTTCCTCTATCGCCCAAAGTTTGCTCAAATTCATGTCATTTAGTTGGTGGTACTATGAAACCATCCCATCCTCTGCCACCCCCTTCTCCTCTTGCCTTTAAGCTTTTCCAGCATCAGAGTCTTTTCCAATGAGTCAGCTCTTCACATCAGGTGGCTAAAGTATGCTTCAGCAACAGTCTTTCCAATGACTATTCAACGTTGATTTCCTATAGGATTGACTGGTCTGATCACTTTGCTGTCCATGGGACTCCCAAGAGTCTTCCACAGCATCACGATTCGAGACCATCAATTCCTTGGCTCTCAGCCTTCTTTATGGTCCAACTCTCACATCTGTACCTGACAACTGGAAAAGCCATACCTTTGACTCTACGGACCTTTGCTGGCAGTGATGTCTTTGCTTTGAATACCTTGTCTAAGTTTGTCATAACTTTCCTTCCAAGGAGCTAGCTAGCATATTTTAATTTCATGGCTGCAGTCACTGTCTGCAGCGATTTTGAAATCCAAGAAAATAAAATGTCATTGCTTCTACTTTTTCCCCTTCTATTTTCAGTGAAGTGATCAGACCAGATGACATGATCTTAGTTTTTTAAATGCTGAATTTCAAGCTATGTATACCTGTATATGACTACTGGGAAGACCATAGCTTTGACTATATGGACCTCTAGTCTTTCCCATTCTATTGTTTTTCTCTCTTTTCATTGTTCATTGAGAAAAGCCTTCTTGTCTCTCCTTGCTATTCTCTGGAATTGCATTCAGTTGGGTATATCTTTCCCTTTCTCCCTTACTTTTCACTTCTCTTCTTTCCTCAGCTATTTGTAAAGCATCCTCAGACACCCACTTTGCCTTCCTTCATTTCTTTTTCTTTGGGATGGTTTTGGTCAATTACATCCTATACAGTGTTATGGACCTCTGTCCATACTTCTTCAGGCGCTCTCTCAGATCTAATCCCTTGAATGTATTCATCACCTCCACTGTATAATCATAAGGGATTTTATTTAGGTCATTCCTGAATGGCCTATAGGTTTTCTTCACTTTGTTTAGTTTAAGCCTGAATTTTGCTATAAGAAGCTGATGATCTGAGCCACAGTCTTGTTTTTTCTGACTCTATAGTTTCTCCATCTTTGACTTCAAAGAATGTAATCGATCTGATTTAGTATTGACCATTTGGTGATGTCCATGTGTAGAGTTATCTCTTGTGTTGTTGGAAAAGGATGTTTGCTATGACCAATATGTTCTGTTGGCAAAACTCTGTTAGCCTTTGCCCTGCTTCAGTTTGTACTCCAAGGCCAAACTTGCCAGTTAGTCCAGGTATCTCTTGACACCCTACTTTTGCATTCCAGTCCCCTATGATGAAAAGGACATCTTTTTTGTGTTAGTTCTAGAAGATCTTTTAGGTCTTCATAATACCAGTCAACTTCAACTTCTTCGGCATTGGTGGTTGGGGTATAGGCTTGATTTATTGTGATGTTGAATGGTTTGCTTTGGAAACAAACTGAGATCTTTCTGTCATTTTTGAGATTGTACCCAAATACTGAATTTTGAACTCTTTTATTATGAGGGCTACTTCACTTCTTATATGAGAATCTTGCCAACAGTAGTAGATATATTGATCATCTGAATTATTATTATTTTTTTTTTTTTTTTTTTCCATTTATTTTTATTAGTTGGAGGCTAATTACTTTACATCATTACAGTAGTTTTTGTCATACATTGAAATGAATTAGCCATGGATTTACATGTATTCCCCATCCCGGTCCCCCCTCCCACCTCCCTCTCCACCCCATCCCTCTGGGTCTTCCCAGTGCACCAGGTCCGAGCACTTGTCTCATGCTCGGGCCTGATCATCTGAATTAAATTCAGCCATTCCTGTCCATTTTAGTTCACTGATTCCTAAGAGACTGATGTTCACTCTTGCCATTTCCTGCTTGACAATATCCAATTTACCTTGATCCATGGACCTAACATTCCAGTTTCCTATACAGTGTTGTTCTTTATAGCATCTGGTTTTGCTTTCACTACCAGACACATACACAGCTGAGTGTTTCTGCTTATGTCCTTCTTGCATTCACTTTTCTTTGGGATTGTTTTGGTCATGCCTCCTGTACAATGTAATGAACTTCTATCGATAGTTCTTCAGGCATTCCATCTACCAGATCTTATCCCTTGAATCTACTAGTCACCTTCTCTATATAACAATAAGGAATTTGATTTAGGTCATTTCTGAATGGCCTAGTGATTTTCCCTACTTTCTTCAATTTAAGCCTGAATTTTGCAATAAGGAGCTCACGATCTGAGCCACAGTCACCACAACTGCAAGTCTTGTTTTTGCCTACTATACAGAGCTTCTCCAACTTTGACTGCAAAGAACATAATCAATCTTATTTCAGTATTGACCATCTGGTGATGTCCATATGTAGAGTCTTTTCTTCAGTTTTTGGAAAAGGGTGTTTGCTGTGACCATAGTGTTCTCCTAATAAAACTCTGTTATTCTTTGCCCTGCTTCATTTTGTACTCCAAGGCCAAACTTGCCTGTTATTCTGAGTATATCTTGACTTCCTACTTTGCATTCCAATTCCAATTGGAATTCTCTTAAGAGAATAAATCCTGAGAGTTCTCATGACAAAGAAAAATATCTTTTTTCTATTTGTTTAATTTTGTGTCTATATGAAATGACCAATATTCACTAAACTTATCGTGGTCATCATTTCAGGTTGTATGCAAGTCAAATCCTTATGCTGTACACCTTAAACTTATACAGTGCTTTATGCCAATTATAACTCAATAAAAATGGAAGGACAAAAAATACAGATTTCTGAATCCTAGTCCTGGCCCAGGAATCTTCATTTTAAACAGCATAGGTTGTTTATGGATGATAAACGACATAGGTTGTTTATTGTCCAAGGTTTGTGTTTTGAGAAACACTAGACTAGGATTGTACTTTTACTGGGGAAAGCCATTATGTATATTTGTTATCCAAATGTATTTAAACTTTGTTTTTGAATATACCCCAGTATTTATTAGCTACTTTCTCTAGATACTGCAAATCAAGACTTAGAGTTAGTAAATATGAGGAAGTGGTTAACTATTCCCACTGAGTTTAAGATCTAAGGTTGAAAGTTCAGAGGAATTCAAATAACCTAAATACTGGGAATGCTAAGAAAGAAAATTTAAAAATCTTGTCTTGTTTAAAAATGCTACACAGTAGAATGAAGGAATAAATCAACTGATGCATAAATTTGAAGGAAATGACATTTGTGCTTCTCTATACATACAACCAGCTGTTTTATATTAGTTTGCCACTTTTAGTTTCCTTATCACTGTTTATTTCATTATGATTACAGTAAATTATGATATGTGTTAAGAACATAGACTTTAAAGATAGACAAATTCTGGGTCCACATCTTAGCTGGATAACTAGTTCTAGGATCTGGATTTTAAGTATTTGTTTGCTTAAGTTGCTACTACTTGAGAATTTCTAGGACTTAAAGAAGGCAGGACCCTGCAATATGCCAAGAAAATTAGTTAGGATCTCTCATCTTAATAGACCATAAAAATGGAAGGTGGGGATCAAACTTGACTTTGATTGTAGTGAGGTTTTCAATTTACCATCCATGGATGGAGTTTAGAGACACCGTGAATATATAAATAAATATCAAAACATTAAAGTAAGCAGATTGCATCATTTTCACAAATGGGTCCTTGACTTCCAATAAGGCAGTTGAAAACAATTTTATATTATTCTTAGGAGGAGGGAAAGGTGATGTGTTTATTTTTATTAAATAAAGCAGAGAATGTAAGCAGCAAAACTGAGTTACATGAAAGGTGAATGCCTTGCTGGCATTTAGCTTCCTTCGCTAAGACCATCTCTTTTAGAAGTGAGTCAGAGTATGCCTGATTGTGTTATGGTGCCACCCCCTGGTGATACAACATCATTTTTTTTTTTAAACGAGAAGTTCTCCCTTCTGAGCTTCTTATTTTTTCCTGTCAGCTATCCTGAATTAATTATGAGTGTATTATTTTAATTCTTGCAGGTTTACATGGACTGTAAGAACAAGAATGTGGATGTGTCTTTGGTCCATTGCACAGGTAAGGGAGTACCCTTGACTAACACTGGACCTGATCCTTCTGCTGCTCCATGAATCCTTATATCACTTGTGCTTTCTTATAGCTTCCTTGATAAAAGCAATGAAATACTGTGGAAACCTAGATTCAGAGAAACCAATTTTTTTTGAATCAGTGTCTGCTGCATTAAGTAACATGCATCTAAATAAGGTGAGTTGAACAAGTTGGTGTGCCAGAATCATAAGAAAATAGGAATGTAGAATCAAGGGTTTTGTGATTTTTATATTAGACTATTGTCCCATTTGCATCTGAAAACCTATTAAAATGTGTCCCCTCCTCAGAGTCCTCTGCTACAAGCAAATACATTTTTTCATTCCTTTTTTGGACAACACATGAACATTGTTTAAGAATTTGGAGTTTCCAGCAATATCACTGTTTAAAGGATCTGGTGATCACCTATTAAGTACAAACTGCTTGATTATAAAATAAATGCATCTTCCAGGATCCACTATCCTGGAAGTTGGAATCTACCTCTGTCAAATACAAAAACTCGAAATGTAACCAAATAGCTTTTAACTGCTCTGATACCCTTTAGTCTAAGCTCATATTGCCATTTTTGGAAATACTATTTACAGAACCGAGGACTCACAGGGTCTGAAGTGTCAAAGTTATCTTCTAATACTGGGCTGTATGGTTAATTTTAGAACTATTCCTAGAAATTTGATTTCCCACAATTTTTGTTTTTTTATCTTGAATTGTTTTGCCTTTCCTTATTCCTGTAACAGCATTTATTGTCTTCCTGGGTCATCCTCATTGCATGCAACCAGAACAGTATGCATTTACAAAGTAATAAAAATTTAAAAATTAAAGTAAAAATAATTATTATTTCTACTACTACTACTACTAAATATTATATCTTATGAATATTCATTGAGTGCTCATGTTCCAAAACTATGCTAAGAGCTTTACTTATATTTCTTCACTAAACTCACCACAAGCTTATAAAGTAGATACTATTATTTAACCTATTGTTAGAAATGAAGAAACTGAGGTTCGGGGAAGTTGTACCATTGGTAAGTGGTAGAGCCAGTTTGAGTCAACAGTCTTACCTGGCACTTGGAGCTATAAACTTCAATACTCTGATGCCTCGGAGAATATCCATTTTCTTAGTCTGACTAGACAGCTGGCTTCAGTTTCTAATGTTCTTTTACCTGCGGTTATCAACTTAAAGTTAAGTAGCAAGTGGAGCTTCCCAGGTGGCTCAGTTGTGAAGAACCCGCCTGCCAATGCAAGAGCCACAGGAGACGCAGGTTCAATCCCTGGGTCGGGGAGAGCCCCTGGAGGAGCAAATGACAACCCACTCCAGCATTCTTGCCTAAAAAATTCATGGACAGAGGAGCCTGGCAGGTTACAACCTGTGCCGTCGCAAAAAGTCAGACATGACTGAGTGCCTGAGCGCGCGTGCGTGCACACACACACACACACACACCCCAAACCCCAAACCCGGTATTCTTGCCTGGACAATTCCATAGACAGAGGAGCCTGGCCAGCTGCAGTCCATGGGGGTCACGAAAGAGTCCCACCGCACTTAGCAACTAAACAAGAAAACAAGTAGCAAGTGCTGATTTCTTCCTCTTCTATTTCAGAATTTGAGCATCCTCAGTGACCCCGGTGAAGTCTGAGACTCTTTTGCTGCAGTACCGGTCTTTTCTTTAGCAACTTCCCTGAAAAGGTCGTAGTCAAGCGTTTTGCACAAACTTTTTCATTGTGTGGAGCCTACAAATGGCTTTTCTGACATGTGTGTGACTTTGTAACTGCATAGCCCCTGCTCAAGGTTTGCCAACAATTTTATCTAATCTTTGTCAGTAAGTAAATTCACTTTGTAGGTCACACACACACACACACACACACACACACACACCCACCCCCCAAACCCCAAACCCAGTATTCTTGCCTGGACAATTCCATAGACAGAGGAGCCTGGCCAGCTGCAGTCCATGGGGTCGTCCATGGGGTCACGAAAGAGTCGGACCGCACTTAGCAACTAAACAAGAAAACAAGTAGCAAGTGCTGATTTCTTCCTCTTCTATTTCAGAATTTGAGCATCCTCAGTGACCCCAGTGAAGTCTGAGACTCTTTTGCTGCAGTACCGGTCTTTTCTTTAGCAACTTCCCTGAAAAGGTCATAGTCAAGTGTTTTGCACAAACTTTTTCATTGTGTGGAGCCTACAAATGACTTTTCTGACATGTGTGTGACTTTGTAACTGCATAGCCCCTGCTCAAGGTTTGCCAACAATTTTATCTAATCTTTGTCAGTAAGTAAATTCACTTTGTAGGTTATTGTATACTTATTTTATAAAAATCAATATGCGTTTAGTTTTAGTGTACTGAAAAATAAACATGAATTTTTTTCCTTTTTTTAATACCACAATATTTTGTGTTAATTTAGTTTTGTTATAGGTTGATTTGTAAAAGTGAGAAGTATTTTCTCCTATCATAGGAGATTTAGAACATTTGCAAGTCATTTGTAAAAATACAAGATCATATGTATAATACAAAGAAACAACTTATCAAGTGTGCCATATTCCACTACCAAAAAAACCATTAAATATCAATAAGCCATGAAATATTCATGTAATATGATATGAAATTCATAGAAAGTAAGTCAAACAAAACAAATGAAAAATTGGAAACCATTCTTCTTCATATCTTTCCATGCCTGGAAGTCTTCAGGAATGTTTTTACGTCACTAGTATCCCAGTAAAATCAAGTTCTTGACTTTGGTTTTGTTGTGACTATTAAAAATGTTTAGGATCTTCAGGCCTTAGCCCTAGTTTGCACATCCCCACCCCATAAAAGTCTCTATTTTCAGCTTAAGTTTTGTTGGAACTAGAAAATTTGGAAGTTGCACATTTTATGTTTTTTTTTTTTACAAATATGATTTATAGATGAGAAAGTATCAATAGCAGAATAACTTTGTGCTAGTCCAATGTAGGATTAGCTACAGTAGTTGGAGACTTTCCTATTTCAGAGAGATAGTCAATACAATATAATACATTTATCTGTCTAAGATAGATAGATCTCCAGGGAATGCTTTATTTTTTTCTTTTGTTAGAGAAGACTTAGATAAATGCTTATCTGTAAACCCACTAAATCAACAGAGTAATTGACAAGTAAAACCACAGGCTAGGCTGACTTATATAAGTTACTGTTTTCATGTTTATACATATATTTCAAATCACATAGTTTCATATGTTTATCTAGCAACTTGATTTACCTATAAAAATATCACTTTGAAAAATAGGTATAGATACATGCTTTAATCTTAAGGCATTTTAGCTGTTCTAGAAAGTACCAGTTAACAAAAAGCCAAGTACTTTGAAGTGTTTGAGAAAGAGTTTGCAAACAAAATGAAAAGGGTTTAATTTTAGGTCATTTAGGTGTTTTTCTGGTCATCTGTAAGAGAAAATTCTAATATCTGCCAAGTGATGTAATGGTCCCTAGCAAATGTATAACAAACATTCGTATGGCCCTTGTTTTTACCATTAAACTCTAAGCAGACAATGTAAAAGAGGAATACTAAATATTTCAAAATTTTATAACCTATTTAGCTATGTTAATTTTGATTGACATGAAATGCAAAGATAGTTTTTGTCCCACAGGAAGCCTCAATCCCTTCATCACTAATTTGGAATTGAAATGAGTGAAGCCAATTTTCCTTCCCATCAAATACTGTTCCAAGAAAAGGTGGAAGTAATAGTTGAAAGTAAACTTTCCTTAAAAAGAGGAATTTCACTCTGCTTTGCCTGGTTAAATTATTCCAGTTGTGGATGGTGGCAACAGTCACCGTCTCTAATCCATTGGTCACGGCCACACAAATTGATGTATTTCTATGCAACTTTGGCCTATGATTAAATTTATGCACTGTAGACATTTTCTAATTTGTTAGAGATTATGGACTGTAGATGGAATAAAAATCATTACAGTTAATTAATGGATAGTTTCTATTTTTTATTGAAGCTAGCATATAATTGCTTGAAAAGATGTACTTGAATGCACTTCAGTGTTTATAGTAGATATTTAATGGATAAAACTTAAAAGTCATAACTTTTATCAAATATTATTATTTTCAGAGTAAAAGAATATCAAAACAAAGGTACCATAAACCCTTTGTTCTAAGGCTTATTCTGCATGCTAGGTCACAGTGACTGTAGACCAGAAGGAACGCCCTGGAATTAAGTCTTGAAAGCCCAGTAACTCAATATAAGTTTCACATGCACAAGATCCTCCTAAAATATACATGTTTATTTCAAAACAGATATTGATAATAGAAGAACTACAGTAAGGTCCTGATGCTAGAATGTTTCTAATCATGTTGAACTATTTTTATGAGATTATTTATTTTTGTATATGATAAACTACTTATATATTACTTATTATGGTAAAATAAAATAGGGAAAAATTAAAACTGACCTATAAGAGTGTTAAGGACTTAACAGAGGGACATACAATATACAAATTAACCATAAAGCAAGTAACCAGGAAAAGACTGTTAATATTACATTTATACAGATTGAATGTCCTTAATTTACCATTTGTCTTTCATTTTAAAGATTATTTGCCCCCAATTGTATGATTCTAGTGTTAAAAGTCTAACTTGAATTACTTTGCAGTAATTTGACAGATCTCTACTGTGTAAATGGGTAATATAATGAGAAAAGCGATCTCTCTTTTTTAATGAAAATGTTAATGTATTAATACCCTGAATGGATGATGCTTGACAGTTAGTGTTTACCCAAATATGTTAATATGTTTTTGAATATACATATGACTGGAAATGCATGTTCTACATTCTGTGGGATGATCATCTACTTCAACATAGACTATCCTTTTTATGGTGATTTTGTTGCCAATTTTTCAATAGGGAGTTTAGTGAGGCTTGCACAATATAGAGATTTTTAGTTACAAATCATATCTAATATGCCACACTTATATTTTTATGTTTCAATACATTTAATTACTTTTTAAATAATCCTTTGCAATGACTCAGCATATAGCAATCGATTTACATGGAAGATAAACTGAAATATTACTGTGCTTAAATGGATTTCTATTATTTCAAAGTACTTATTGAAGAGCAAATAGTACATTTTGCTTGCTTAGACTGACCTACAGTGTATTATGTGTTGACAATTACTGGATTCAATATTCTTTGTAATTTATTCTTACAAAATTTCAGCCTAAAATTGTAAAGTGTTGTATGTCAATTTACAGAAGTTTAATAAAGCTACTTTTTGCTGCAATACTACTTTTACACAGTCCTTTACACCAAGTTTAAATCCTTTCTTGTTCTAATTTTAATTAATACATAATTTAATTTGTTAATTTGTTTGGCTCTTCATTTATATACTGTTGTTTGTCTTTTCTGAGTTTCTAGGCTGAGTTCAATATTCTCCAGCATTTTAAAGGTTACTGCTCAAAGAACAAGAAGATAAGGCTCTTTTCCAGGTGTTGGAGATATGGCAGTGAATAAAGCAGAAAAAAAAAAAAAATCCCTGCCCTTATGGAGCTTGCATCCTTACTGGGGGAAGACAAAATAAATAGAATAAAATTTAAATACCTTTAAGTTAAATGAAAATATGTGCTGAGAATAAGAATAAATTAAGGAAAGAGGATAAAATGTATGGCAGAAGGTGGGTGTTGTGTCCCGAGATAGAGTGGCAGGCATGGTGACTAATGAGAATGCTTTGTAAGCTCAGGCTGCTATAATCAAATAGCACAGACTGGAGAACTAAACAATAAACATTTATCTCTCAAAATTCATTAGGCTGGGAAGTCAAAGGTCAAAGTAGCACCTGGCTCAGCTTCTGGTGAGAGCTTGTTTTGTGTCTTGTAGACGGCTGCCTTCTTGCTGTCCTCACATGCCCTCACATGTTGGAAAGAGAGTGCCCTCTGGTTTCTCTTCTGAAAGATCCTATGATTCTGTAAGCTTAGGACTTCACCCTTATGACCTGATTTAACCTTTATTACTTCCCCATATGCTCAGCCTCCACATATAGTTACACTGGGGTTTAGGGAATCACAGGTCCATAGCAGGGAGTTATAAATTTCTTCTATTTTAAAACATTCCTTTTTATATCTAAAAATTAGGCTTGCTGGAATTTTATAAGTTAGGTTGCCTAAAACGTTCATTTGGGTTTTTCTGTAAGATGTTGCAAAAACCCCATGTGAACTTTTTGACTGACCCAATGTTTAACATAATGCTTTTGCGTGAAAAACATGATAAATAATTGTGAACTGTCTGGCTAAAGTATTTTAATGCTAGAGACTGTAGATGAACATAGATATTAGTTCATCGCTGGCTACTGAGATGAGATTCTGGCTTTGAAACATAGTGAAGTGGTCAGGAATGGGTTTGCAATATACCAATGGCTATTCGAAAGCTGAGACATTATATTCTGGTGATGGTTTCTACGGATTAGCCATCCTGTTATAAAGATAGAATTGAATTAGTTAGCTTTCCTTTAACTATCATATTGTTTTAAAGAAAATAACAGCGGAGATGTGCTTAATTCTACCAGCAGTCACAGAGACAGACGCAGAACAGAGTCCTGATGCTAACTGCAGTGAGAGCTTTCCACATTTTTGTTTGTTTTTTGTTTACTAAGAAGAAAAGAATAGTAGGTTACTGCACAAATGAGCTAAGTGCTGTGAAATGATGGCTTTCAGGGTGCTCATTATGTAAAAATCCTCACTCATTTTCTACTGATTTCACGCTAGAAAGGTCGTTTTGGTCAAGCTTATTTCCTTTCTGTCCTTAATAATAAAGACCATTCTCTCCACTAAGTATAGAAAGCTTTTTAGTACTTTTTTTCCCAATTTGGTACCATGTGTTTTTATGGCCACATTTAGAATTTGGCTAATAAATAAGTCTAGTGAGAATTTATACTTAACAAGAACAATTGTTGCATTAAAAAATAAAATGATTCAATTAAAAAAATCTGGAATTGTGTCTTTATCTCCTTTGCCACTAGAGCTGCCTTCTTCCCCTTCTTGGTTTTGAAGCCGTTTATGGCCTTGTGAGGGCAGAAAAGTGAGAAGAGGCAGATTATTTTAGACTAGAGTATGTTTTCCTCAACTTCCATATTTAACACCCCTATTTCCACACTTCCTTTCGCCTTGATTTATATCCTACAGAGTTCTCAAGCTTACCTGCTTCCTGTTTTCTTAAATTTGTGTTAATAGTAAGAGATCTATTGCTTAAATAAAGGTGCCTTTCCTCAGGCTAATGAAGCTTGAGCCAGTGTGGGGAGGGGAGGGCAGTGAATGCAATGCCTGGCCACTGGAAGGCTTTGGGGGAGGAGGAAAAACTGAGGGTAAAGGCAGGCAGTAGATGAGGATAAAGTTGGCTAGCATGACTAACCCTATGATTTTAGGAATTTCTAGCTGTCTTCTGAGTCCAAACATATACTCCATTATTCTTTTTTAAAATTAATTTATTTTAGTTGGAGGTTAATTATTTTGCAATATTATTCTTTTAAGAGGCCTGAGATTCTCAGCGTTAACCACTTTGCTGCTGTTCCGTCGCTCAGTCATGTCTGACTCTCTACAGCCCCATGGACTGCAGCACTTATTCAGGGTGGAGTAAATACGACAAGAAAGGAAGAATGCATGGAAGCCCTGCAATGCATTGTGTTAGTCCTGGAAAGAGCTGATTCATTCGATAAGCTTATGACATTGTTGGGCTTCTCCGGTGGCTCAGACGGGAAAGAATCTGTCTGCCAGTGCAGGAGACCTGTGTTCAATCCCTGGGTCCGGAAGATCTCCTAGAGAAGGGAATGGCGACTCACTCCAGTCCATAGGGTCACAAAGAGAAGGACAGGACTGAGCGACTAACACACACACATGATATCGTCATCAAGGGCCAGAGAAAACAAAGCACAGAATAAACTTTGATGAAGATTGGTTGCTTCATCGTGTCTGACTCTGCGCGACACTATGGATTATGGCCTGCCAGGATTCTCTGTCCATGGGAATCTCCAGGCAAGAATACCAGAGTGGATTGACGTGCCTTCCTGCAGGGGATATTCCCAACCCAGGGATGGAACCTGCGTCTCTTACATCTCCTGCACTGGCAGGCAGGTTCTTGACCACTAGTACCACCTGGAAGATTGGTTAGAACTCTCTTTTGGAGTTCAGGGTGCTGCTGAGGGCAGGGATGAGAATGGTGATGTGGTTTGGGGATACAGGCTGAGCAATGTGCCCTAAGCATGCGTGGATATCCAGGGCCCTCCCCTCATCACCGCACTCCAAAGACACAGACGTGGTGGAACTAACTGGTGTTCATGAAGTCAAACACAATTCTTCTCATATATCATCTTTTCTTGGAGCTTGGACCCAGGCCTTTCGCTTTGGCTCTGGAATTAAAATTTAACAGTAGCCGTGTAACTGCCAAAAACAGAATTGACATACAATTTTTATCTTGTATGAACCTAGTTCTTCAGTCGCTCCTTTCCACTCTGCCAATGAAAAGATTGAAGTAGTGTGAGTCTCACCAGAGTAGAGGCTTATTCAATTAAAACCAAGAAAATGATGGTGCCAGGTCTCTCCTCAACCTTGGTTGAAATGTGATCCTTATAATGTCTGCACAAGAATCACTACGGGTATTTTCTATATACGTAGATTTAAGCACTCTACCCCAAACCTAGAGGATCAGAATTTCTTTGGGGTTAACTTAGAATAAGAGTTTTTAAACAATCATTCACTTTCATTTTATATACTGCAGTTTGGAATCACAGTCACAAAGGCTTTCTTTAGTCTGGTATTTGAAAAAAGCCCTGTACGCTAAGACTTGGCACATATGTGTTCATTTGCTTTATTTGGGTGTGTGCAACGGTCAGAGTGTCGTGGGTGTATACAGTGTATACAGTGCTATTCTTCAGGAACCAGGACTGAGTGTAACATGGCAAAGCGCCGTGTCAAATTCACCGTAACTTTGGATCAACATGGGCTTGTCTGAGTCAGAAAGGATCTGAAACATACTATCACTATTCAGTTCCTCTTGGGTGAATTTCCTAAGATTGGAAATTTGTATTTAGTCTCTTTCATCATGGAAAACGTCAGTCTCCTCCTTCTTTCACGAATTTATACTGTTTCTGAAAGATATTCATGTGGTCATAGAAGAAAACAGTCTCATCCTCCAAGTTGCTCCTCACACATTTCCTTTAGAAAAACTTCATAAAGAGAGATTTCTCTTCAAGCCTAAGGCTCCTTGGGTAACTATTTTCTTTCAGCCCCTTCATTGAAATTTCCTGTGAAATGCTACCAGAGTGAACTGTAGTTAAAATCTCTCATTCTGCACATAAGGAGCTGGAATAAAGTAATGGTGGCAGTAATTATATTACTCAGCTATTTTTAGTTTGGGAATGGGGCTGATATAAACCATCATAACTACAAAGAAAATGATATTCAGTTATGAATCACTACCAGATGTGTGAATTTATATCTTAAGGTTTAATTTTTCTATAATATTCCTACTGCAGTATATTCCTTATCCACTTTTTAAACTGATTTTTCTTTCTATGGGTAATGGATTTAATTGCATTAAATGTTCAGAAGATCCCAAAATTAATAAAATATGTATTTGTACTCACAAATTTTCACAATCCTTTTTTAATTTCTTTCTTCTTTAAAGAAATCATTCATGTGTTCAAAAAGTATTTGAACATGTATTGCATTCCATGTACCATGCTGGTTGATATGAATACAAGAATGAGTAATTTCTTACCTTTAAGATATTAGAAGGGCTTGCCAGGTGGCGCTAAGTAAGTAAGTAAGTAAGTAAGTGAAGTCGCTCAGTCGTGTCCGACTCTTTGTGACCCCATGGACTGTAGCCTACCAGGCTCCTCCGTCCATGGAATTTTCCAGGCAAGAGTACTGGAGTGGGTTGCCATTTCCTTCTCCAGGGGATCTTCCCAACCCAGGGATCGAACCCGAGTCTCCCGCATTGCAGGAAGACGCCTCACCATCTGAGCCACCTAATAGAGAACAAATTGAGAGGATGCAGGCCAAACACTGCTGAGCTCCACTCAGTCAAATCAGACGAGTCTACTGCCTCCAAAGCTGCTTTCCTAACATGGGGCTTTCAGCAGCATATGAGATAAGAATTGCTGAGCACCATAGTAATCTTTCAAGACACTGATCAAAAACATGGTCCTATATTTTAAAAGCCCCAGAAGTGGTTTTAAGATGGCAGAAGCACCTCAGCCACTAAAAGAAGCAAGATTCTAAGTAAAATTACCCACACAACAAATCTTTTAACAGTTCAGCAACCAGTAAATGGAAAATGTTCCTTAAAATCTGCTATTTCCAAATACTCCAAAGAATCCTTCAACTGTAGTTAAGCTCTGTGGAAAATAATTAGTTGTCATAGAGCTTCTGACCATGTGGTGTGTTTCTTAGGAAAGAACACTGGTCTGAGCCAAGCATGGTGACCTTGGACCAGGTACAGGGTAGGCGCTTCCAGTTCTGAGGCGGTAGGCTCCTCCTGAGTAGTGTCTGACAATTGGGTGAGTGTCCTAAGATTTTACAGCCTGACATAAAAGCGATGCTAACACTCAGCTCTCCTGAAATCAATCCAAGAAAGAGATGACTAGTGTTAAATATGTGCACCCCAATGTTCATCGCAGCACTGTTTATAATAGCCAGGACATGGAAGCAACCTAGATGCCCATCAGCAGATGAATGGATGAGGAAGCTGTGGTACATATACACCATGGAATATTACTCAGCCATTAAAAAGAATTCATTTGAATCAGTTCTAATGAGATGGATGAAACTGGAGCCCATTATACAGAGCGAAGTAAGCCAGAAAGATAAAGACCATTACAGTANGACACAAAGCATGATGATGGTCAGGGTGAGAGCCGTTGTAAGGAATTACTTTCTTCTTCTGCTGGAGTCAATTTAAGTGTTGGCAGTTTCCGAGGAGGAAGCTGAGGGCTTTGGCGAAGATTGTCATCCATCTGTGGAAAGTACAAAAGGTACATCTGACTAACAGCTATGGTAACACTAACATGGACTGTGGCATCCCCATCCAAACCATAGCCTAGAAGAGTACAGAACCTTATGTGTCTAGCACTGCTAGAGAAATCTTTTTCTTGCAAATAATCTCTAAAGAATTCTAAACATAAACAAAACAAAAAAAAGAATTCTAAACATCATACCTAAATACTGGCTGACTTAGTACATGTATGGGGTTTCCCTTGTGGCTCAGCTGGTAAATAATCCGCCTGCAATGTGGGAGACCTGGGTTCCATCTCTGGGTTGGGAAAATCGCTGGAGAACTACCCCACTCCGGTATTCTGGCCTGGAGAATTCCATGGACTGTATAATCCATGGGGTTGCAAAGAGTCGGACACAACTGAGCGACTTTAACTTTCACTTAGTATATGTATAAAAGCAGTATGGCTCACCCTTGATGTCTTCACAAAATTACAGTAATGCCACAAAATGAACAGTCTGCTGAAGTCAACCACAGTACAACTTGGTTTAAGAAACCTTCTAATATTAAGTGTAAAAGCAACATTTCTGTTAGATTACTTTCCACAGGTTACAAAGTATGTTCTCATTTGAGCTTCCCAAGACAATTATAAAGAAAAAAAGACAATCATTCTCTATTTTACAGATTAGCAAAAGGAAGCTCAGAAAGGTTATCAGGTTTGCATTAGCAAAGCTAACATTAGAGCTGAAATGTGAACCCTGGTCTTATTCTAACACTATTGTTCTTTCAACTATACCTCAATGTCTCAATAAAAATGACCTATACTCCACTCAAAAAGATCACCTCCTTTAGGCTCTGCGTATTTAGACCAAGGAAGGTTAGGAAAAGAGACAGAAGGATAAATACTTTAGACTTAACCCAGAGGCACTGCAAACAATGGATCAGTTCTAAGTCTGCTCTAGAGAAACAAAGTAACGTGGAGCATATTTAGAAAATGTCCAAGAGCTTCAGGAGTACATTAGCATCCCTGAAAACATCAGGAGAGGGGTTATTTAGATCTGAGTCAGACCCTAGAAAACTACCTTTAAACAGTGCAAAGTCCTGGTATTAAGCTACTTCATAAAAGTCTTGAAAGCAGCTGCCATCGATAACCCAAAACCAACAGAATACAGCGTCTTATCACCTAGCTGGTAGACAGGCTTTTTTTTTTTAGAGTTTTAACATGTGTAGCGCAAAACTCTCTCCTTTCAAGATGCTTTTATAAAGCACAGAGGAAATGTTTCAGCAGAGGTACATGGGGTTTATAATCAAAGGAAAAGAATAAAAGATTAACTCAGTTTTCCAATGGACAAGAGTATTCCCAGTGAACTATTTGAATCAGTTGTGTTAAGATGTCTTTTTTTCCTTGCAACAACTAAGTTCCTCAAACATAACTCTTTCTTTTTTTAAGCTCTAGATTTTCTGTCTAAATGGTGAACAGTGGTAGTCAAGAGAATTTGCTGTTCTATTGTCTTGTAGCAAACAGTGATCTGTACTGAGGAGCAGATGGGAAGTGGGGTGGGGAGAGGCGCTAACACAGGGTCAGGAGACTCTCATGTATTGATGATGCCAAAGTGAACTGTACAGAAGTGGTGGCAGGGCCTCTTGGTTTCACTTTCTGCAAATATACGTCTGAAATGAATTTGCCACAGATGGAAATGAAAACTACCCTGGATAGTCTTCATCCAGCAGAAAAGTATCTACAACAGTCTGAATAATTTTTCCATTATCCACACTTAACTCTTGGTGTATTTCCTCTCATGAGATTTACTGGGTTGGGCTAATTAAGACAAACTTGGCTTTCATTCAGCTTACCCAAACTTTAACAAGAGGTACATAAGTAAGAAGTTAAGTGCTAGTTGCTAAGTTGTGTCTGATTCTTTGCAACCCTGTGGACTATAGCCCACCAGGCTCCTCTGTTCATGGGATTCTCCAGGCAAGACTACTGGAGTGGGTAGCCATTCTCTTCTCCAGGGGATGGTAAAGTGAAGTGAAGTGAAGTGAAAGTGGCTCAGTCATGTCCGACTCTTTGCGACCCCATGGACTACACAGTCCATGGAATTCTCCAGGCCAGAATAGTGGAGTGGGTAGCCTTTCCCTTCTCCAGGGGACCTTCCCAACAAAGGGATCAAATCTAGGTCTCCCACATTGCAGGCAGATTCTTTACCAGCTGAGCCACAAGGGAAGCCCAAGAATATACCATAAAAAGAAATAAAATGGTCACTCCAGAGAGTGGTAGTTGTAAACCTGGCTATTACCACCAGTAGTAATGGATACATAATTTCACTCATGAGTTCCATAGCTGACTAACTACAAAGCCCATGCTGGAATCCAATTACTAGGGTTCAGATTCTCTCTCTACTTCTTGCCAGCGGAATGACCTCGGGCAGATGATGTTATAAACAACCCTTGAAGCTTCAGTTATCTCATCTGTAAAATGGGGATAACAGAGTACCTGCACATACAGGGTTGCTGTGAGATTAAATGAGATAACTCATATAAAGTTCATATGATACAGTGCCTGTTACTAAATCTCTCAAACCTCTAGCCAGTGTTATTAGGCCATAATGACCCCTTAGCTTGTGAAAGAATGAAGCATTATCCATTTGTATAAGAAAAAAGCAAGTTTATCAAACACTTGAGGAAAAAAACTGTCTCTTTTTCCACCTAGAATCACCCTTGAAATTTCCATTGCTGGTTCCCTCCCCTGCCCAATTCCTCAATATTTCTCTCAACAAATGCATACTCCCTAAGTGGCAAATATCCACACTAGCCAAAAACTTTAAACATTTAGAACAGAGGATAGGAACATTTATGTGAAAGAAAAAGACACCATAGTGCTATCAGTAAGAAAGAATAAGCGCAGGAGCTTACGATCAAGAAATATTAACACTCAGAGAGGGAGAGAGGCAGACAAGCAAGCAAGAAGCGTTTTTCTGTTTCTTTCTCTCTCCCCCTCTTTTTTTTTTTTTTTAAAGCCAAAGTCTCCTAACTTGAAAAGTACTGCTAATTGTGTGGTAAAAGTAAACCCAATGCTATTATCAGATCTTTCCCCCAAACAACCAGTCCATTACTGGCTTCAAAACACTGTATTTTGTACTGCTTTTAGTAAATATATATTTAAACAACTTTCTGAAAAAAATAAACTTAAAAAAATTAAGAAAAGGGTAAAGGTAATGCATAACCCAAATTACAATATTAACTGCAGAAAGGAAAATGCTGAACTAGTACAAAATAACGATTGAAGTAAAACTTGACCTTTTCAATCAAGTTGGATTCCTTATTTACAAGTTGTGTCAGTTTCTGCAGATTTGCATCTACCGTTTCTTGTCCAGCAGGAGAGATGCCTAAGAAGCCAGGACAGAAATCAGAAAGAGGAAAATTTGAAAGCCTTACAAGCTGTTTAGAGTCAAAGAATACTGAGTCTCTCCACCCCCTAAATGCTCCATCCCCCACCCACCTCCCCAAAAAGGCAAAGTGAAAAACCATTCTCAGTTCAAAAGGCAAACGTAAGATACAGTAATACTCCAAAAGCAAGCCCTAAGCCAAAGGACTGAATGCTTCCTTCAGGAGACCCAGTTAGCCAAGTGTCAGGCAGACAGCCAAGGTCGTTAATACGAGCGCAGCAGTGCTCACTGCCTTCTCAAATCTGACATGTACCTTTTCCCCACCCACCTCAAACAGGCCTTTAGTTACAACTACTGCATCTGAAGAGCTTTCGAAGGGCCAAACAAATATCCACGCCTCCAGAGTACTTGAACAGACTTTTAAAAAATACAGATTTCTGGGATCTATTCCAGGAATGGATCCTATTCTAATTCGGTGAATCTGGTACAGGACTTAAGATTTTGTATTTGTTCTGTGGTCAGGTTTGCTAACCACTGCTTGCAAGTAACAAGGTTGAGAATTACTCAGTTCCATGACTTTCAAACTACTAACCCCTTCCTTGTTACGTACAAGTGTATTATATACAAAACACATAACCCACTATATAAAAAAGTAAACTGTTCCTAAGCCAGTGGTCCTCATGACTTCTCTGTCTTAAAAGGACGATTTCTGCCAACTCTCCCCACACAAACTTGGTGAGCACAAGGCCCCTCACTCCCGAAGCAGCGAGCCTGAGTGGCAGGCGCCCTCTATTTACGATACCTCGTCTGGTGCAAGCAGTTTTCAAGTAGTGGAATCATGGGAGTGTACCTCACCAAAATCAATCTGCTGCTCATTTCTGTTCACGCAGGAAAATGCTAGAAGCAACATTTAAAGTAATTGCCCATTTGCATTAGGATAAAGGCTATCTTTCAGCAGGGACACAATAAATACCTGTGGTTAAATTTTAAAAGAAAATGACCCACTTCAAAGGGGCAATATTTAAAGAACAAGAAGTGAGAACTGTATAAAATCCAGAAGAACAGACAAAAGGCAAATAGATATTTCTCTACTGAAAGAAGAACTAACACATGGGGGGGAAAAAAAAGTTGGAAAAAATGCCATTTTTTGAAGTTTTATAAACCAGGATTTCGGAGAAGGAAATGGCAACCCACTCCAGTGTTCTTGCCTGGAGAATCCCAGGGACGGGGGAGCCTGGTGGGCTGCCGTCTATGGGGTCGCACAGAGTCGGACACGACTGAAGCGACTTAGCAGCCGCAGCAGCAAACCAGGACTTAAAGACAATATACACACATTTTAAATAAGTAATGGATTTGGTGTATACGTCCTTAGGAGAATATGCAAATATTCTATGCAAACAAAGACTAGCTGAAGAACCAACTTACCTCCAAGACTAAGCCTAAAATAACTGTTTAGGATGTCATCACAAAAGCGACACAGGTTGGAGAGCTGCTTCAAATGTTCTTGTAACTGAACTTTAGGAAAACGTACTTTATAAAGAGGTGCGAGAAAACCAAACACATAGGCATCCAAAGTGGAAGGCCTGAAAATAAGGATTTTTAAAAAGCACATAAGAAAATATTAATCTGGGATTATGCTAAAAACTTTTTCTCAAATACATTTATCGATTCTGCAGTATAAAATATAGTCTTTTAAAAGGTTTACCACCCATTTGGGCTTATAAAAATGAAGCAACTAGGGTTTTACTCATTAGTAGTTTTTTAAAATACTCTACCCATTTTATTTAGAAGAAAATTTAAGTTGTAAATTAAAAGATTCATTTTTACTCACAGGTATCATGTAGAGACTAAAGACTGGGTGGGAACAGTCTTAAAAGTTTCAAAGTCACATATGCAACATACTAAGTCAATATCAGATTACCCCGACAGAAAGTTTCCTACAGTATAAAATCCACTAAGTATTTTTTTAAGTGGCAAACTCACTGGGGATGGGGTAAGAGGACCAGGCAAGGGAACTTGCTTTAAGTAACTGCTCAATGGATATATGCAAACAAAACATTAAAATGGTTTTATAAGGGAATGTACTCACATATTTCCAAAGAAAAACTGAGATGTTCCCAATCTGTTTGACAGAAGATTTAGGCACTCCTTCGCATCTCTGTATATCTAATAAGGATGAAATTACATCTCAAAAGTAGGAAAGATGCTCAAGAACTCCTTTTAGGCTGGCATCGATAAGTATTGGGCAGGCCAAAAAGTTTGCTCAGGTTTTTCTGTACCATCTTATCTTATCACCTACCCGAACGAATTTTTTGACCAACCCAGTAGTTTCATCCCTGCTCTCTCTTGTCCCTCCTCCAGAGAGCCCTTGCCCTGAAGGTAATTCCAACCATACCCGAGCTTCCACTTCTCGAAGGTGGTAGAGGGGAGGCTCTCCCCTGGTCAGGAGAATCCTATTCAGTGCTCCCTTAGACATTCTTCCAGGCAGGATCAAACTCAAGGGAAAAGGCATTCGGGAAGCAAACCATGGCTTTGTCACAGTAAAGTAATTGTCACTCTCAACCCAGAATGTGTGAAGCTGCAAAAGGAGGGGAAAAAACACTACAAGGATCTTCTTTTATTAAAAGATCATTCAATAGATGTAAAACTTTTTCATAAATATCTCTGAGTGAAGTTAACCTCATACCCATTTTCCAGCTAGGATGATTCAAGGACAAATCAAGATTTTTAAACACGTGAGTTTTGTTTTGCTCTATCCCAAGCATCCAGAATAAGGCCTGGAACATAGCAGGTGCTTAATGGATATTTTCGGAATGAATTACAGTTGGCCCAAATCTATACATGGAGCAACAAACTCTGTCTTTCACAGAGAATTTTTATTTCCAAAATGACACTGTCTTTCACTTTGTTGGTTCCTATACTAGTTGAATGTCTAACAGAATCAACCCAGTTTCACAGTTACGTGAAACAACTGAAAATAATACATAAATGAAATTTCCTCTCTTAAGCCTCTTCCAATATTTTTCTTCTAAACAGACTAAGTACATTCTCGGTAAGTCACTAAAATACTGTAATATTCACCAATGCTCACCACTGCAGGAAGAAGCTTCTCTTCAAGGAGAGCAATGTAAGCTAGCGTATCTGCCCCTTGTTTTGCTGAAAGTTCATAATCAGCATTGTATTTCTGTTAAAAAATATAAAACCCAAAACCTCATAAGTCAAGAACATCCCAAAACAGTGAGGCTAAATAAACTTGGACTCCTATTCTTCCTCAAAAATGGCAAACATATTAAAAGGGAAAAGAGAAATACAAATTCAGTAACAAACGCTACTTAATGCAAATAAAGTTCTGAACATAGTGTCATGTACACAGCAAGGTCCATAAATGTTAGTTTTAGGTTTTTTTTTTAATTAACTATTATTTCAATGATTGTTAATGACCTTAGTTTAGTGCGTGGCATGTAGTACAAACTTAATAGAAACTATTATTATTTTCGTTAATTGATAATAAGGAAAAGTTCTAATTAGTTGCGTTCCCCATGAAAAGAAAAAACTTCCCCATTTAGAAAAGTTCTAAATTTTGTTGACATAGGACTTCCTTAACTATTGGCAAAACCAATGATAACTTCCACGTTTATATAAATTGCTACATGTTTAAACATTTTAAATATATAAATCTTGGCATGTTCAGATATTTTGGATACATTATTTCATGAAACATTTAACTGCAGCTATTAATTTAAGTACTTAAAAAAAATAGTTACTAGTTGATAGGAACTCAGACCTCATACCAAGAACAAAATGTGTAGCAGTTATGAAACTAAATTTACAATCATATCAATAAGTGTAATAGTGAAGATAGCTAAACTGAATCTACTTATACCTAAACTTCAATAAAAGCCAAGCAAAGTGCACAATCATATAAGTTGACTGTAACTCACTATATGGCTTTTGAATCACAGTACAACTCATAATTTAGAGCAGTGACTCTCAGATTTATTTTCTTTTAATCAAACCCTATGTATCTCCAAGGTGGTTAGATGGTAAAGAATCTGCCTGCAATGCAGGAGACCCAGGTTGGATCCCTGGGTAGGGAAGATCCTCTGGACAAGGGAATGGCAACCCACTCTGACATTCTTGCCTGGAAAATCCCCATGGGAAGAGGAACCTGGTGGGCTATAGTCCATGGGGTCACAAAGAGTTGGACTCAACTGAAGCGACTAAGCATGCATGCATGCATGTATCTCCAAAAAAGAATTCTAAACAAATATTTTTAATGTTTTTCTTTTTTTAAAGTAACATGCAGGGATGGAGAATCTACTTATTCAAAAAGGACCACCCACCTGTTTTCTTAAAAAGTTTAGTATTTTTGCCGGCTGAGAAATAGTATTGTCTTCAGTTGTCAAAACTGGTACATCTCCTATAATCAAAAAACATTTTACACACAAGGAAGCATTTCGATATCCTTTGAAGAGATCCCGGTACCCTTAAAACTATACCAATCACATTTGGAGGAGGAAAAAATGAGTAGGATATTTTAGGTTTTTGCAGTTTTACACACACACACACACACACACACACACACACACACAGAGTTATGGAGAGCATTTCATTTCTCATAATTTCCACTTATTTGGCTTGTCCTTTGAAGTATCGCTCAGAATGATCAAAACATAAGCAACATACAGTCAAGGTCACGGTGAGAACTAAAACCCCAAGGTACTCCACGGCTACATGCCTCCTAGCTTTAAATGAGAGGGGGAGGGTGCAGAAAGGGGGCAGAAAGGAGCGTTGGAAAGTTTCCAGTGTACCTCTTGAACCTCTCCAGGTGTTATCTATGACATTGACTTTCAGGGGTGCACCAGAAAATTTGGCGTAAGCCTGAAAGAGAGTTTGGAATAAAACATTTTAGATTGAGTACTAAAGGAAATCTGCAGAGCAGCCTGACTTCAAATCTGGGTCCCCCGAAAGGTAGACACACCAGACTCCGGGGCTGCACCCCTCCCCAGACTTGTAGCAGGCGTTGCGCAAGCCAGCGACCAGGGCTTTGGGGGCTTTCTTGACCCCCACCCCAACATTCGGGGGATACAGGGCAGGGAGCGCGCGCCCTATGCTTTGGGTTTTCATTCCACCTCCCAGACAGCTGTGCGTGATTGAAAACACTCGGAGCCAAGCGGAGAAGCCATGACTTCCCCCCGTGGCTTCGGCGGGGACACAGGCTAGGCTGTACTTCTCGGACGCGAGGGAGCCCAGATCGCTGCAGCAAGCAGCCCCCGGGCCGGAGCGCCGCGCGGGAAGCACCGGTAGCCGCCGGGACCGGCCAGCCGGCCTGGCGCCTCTGGCCCCGCCCCTTCTTGCCCGCGCCCGCGCCAGCGAGACGGCCTCACCATCACCACCAGGGAGTCGCTGTGCACCGACGGGAGCCCCCAGCCGCCTCCCCAGCAACTGAGCTCCAAGGGGGCCGCCATCTTGCCGGGGCCGACCTTTGTTATCCCGGAAGTGCTTTTGCCACCTACTTTCCGGCAGGTGGAATCACGGGGGCGGGGCGAGAAGGAGAGAAGAGATCTCTGGGGACCGGGAGAGAGGCCGGAAGGACCCCTGGAGGGGTTAATCGCATGCTTAGAGTCAGCTTGGCCTAGGGGTTGAGAGTCCTGGGCAGTAAGTCAGACAGCCTGCCAGTAAGTCCCCAGATACTTATTGCATGCCTAATGTGTCCCATGGAGAAGGAAATGGAAAGCCACTCCAGTATTCTTGTCTGGAGAATCCCATGGTCAGAGGAGTTTGGCAGGCTCCAGTCTCTGACCTGGAGAATCCCTTTGGCAGGCTCCAGTCTCTGACCTGGAGAATCCCATGGTCAGAGGAGTCCATGGGGTTCGGACACGACTTAGCGACTAAAGCAAACAGTGTGTCCCAAGCCCTTTGACCATTGCTACCCTGGGCCTAAACGAACCCATTTGTAGAACTAGGCATAGCAGTTTAGTCACAAGATTGTTCTGTTTAAAACTATGACATGGGGGTAAAGAACTTGACATACATAGTAGGCACTCTAATTGTTTGACCCCTTTCCCCATATATTTGGCCTCTGCTTCTTGCCGTTCTCGATCTCAATTAGTCACCTACTGTTTACTTGTTACACCTTTTCTAAAAGTAGCAAGTTTCCTGGAGTTTGTCAAGTTTCCTGGAGTTTGTCAAGTTTCCTGGAGTTTGTCAGGTTTCCTGGGATTTGAAGAATTCTGCCCTTCTTCATTCTGGAATGTCTTGCTTTCTTCCCGTCTGGAATGTCTTGCTTTCTTCCCTGGCTCTGCTCCTTCAAAGATGAGCTTAACCGTCACCTCCGTGGTAGAGTTTTCCGAAGCCAGGGACTTCTGGATCCCTGCAGCCTCTTGTACGTACTTGAATTGTAGCTTCTACCTGATACAAACTTTTTGCCTTTCAGTGTACTGAAAGTTCTTGGAAGACAGAACAGGGCTGGCTTCCTAGATGTGTGAGGTGTCTGCAATTACACAGAGACCTGTGCTTAGAAAGCTCACACTTGCTTAATGTTCTGGTGTTATTGTTTTGAAATTCTTAATAATTTTTTAACAGAGGGCCCTGAGTTTTTTATTCCAATTGGGCCTTGCAACATGTCATCAGTCATGTCTGTGGGCCTTGTGGGCATGAACTACATGTTTCTTAAGCATCACACTGACAATTTTTTAGAAAAACTGAGGAAAAAAAGGAAAAATGGACCTTGGAAATGCCTTGATCATAACTTGCTTTCTGGGTCTGGAAATTAGACTTGGGTACTAGGTGCTTTTCTAGAAGGCACAGTAGGCTTTCTGGGATACTCTCTCAGGCATTCCTCTGAGCTCTTTCCTTTCCCATGTCCCTATGGTTGCTGCTGCTAAGTCACGTCAGTCGTGTCCAACTCTGTGCGACCCCGTAGACGGCAGCCTACCAGGCTCCCATCCCTGGGATTCTCCAGGCCAAGAATACAGGAGTGGGTTGCCATTTCCTTCTCCAGTGCATGAAAGTGAAAAGTGAAAGTGAAGTCACTCAGTCGTGTGTGACTCTTCCTGACCCCATGGACTGCAGCCTACCAGGCTCCTCCGTCCATGGATTTTCCAGGCAAGAGTACTGGAGTGGGGTGCCATTGCCTTTTCTGCTGAGATGGTTGGGTCCCTTTAAACAACTGAAAACTCAAAAGAAATCTCTGCAAATTTTCACAAAGTTGCAACTCAACAAGTAATTGCTAAACAGTTCCTTAATATTTACATAGCCATCTAAATTACAGTATCAATCTGCTAGAGTCCTTTTTCATGTTTCAAAGGCAAGAGTTTGAAACTTCTCAGAAATGGGTAGAGAAGTTATGTCAAAGGTGAGATTCCATTAACAATACTTAAAATTGGAAAGTGTGTAACATAAATATCATTAAAATTAAATGTCAAAATATTTATTGAGCAGCATATGTCCAAAACCCTGTAAAATTCTGGGACGATGCAGAGATAAATAAGTTATGAATCTGTTCTCAGGAGTTTATGGTCTACAAAGGAGTCAAAGAACTAGGTGTAACAAATCAGACTATCATGAGAAAAGTTAGAGATAAAAATAAAATACTGTGGAAGCAGAGAGCAGGAATGATACATCCTCTGTGGAATCAATGGAGACTGTCTGTTTCGTCTTCAGTATAAAGAAAGTAATTCAACTTTCAGATTCAAGTAATTGGACCTCCCTGTTTAGAGGATTAAAATCCCAAGCCATAAATCTCAGAGTACAAATACGACAATTAGGCATTTTAAATAATCGTACACAGAGAATATGTGTTGCTTGAGTTTTGTTTATAGAAGGGAGGGGGGTTAAAGTGCATGTACATTCTTTGTGGACACACAATTATTAATTATTCAGCTCGGCCTTCTCCCTTATTGCTACTGCTACAAAAGACAGTTTCATTTGCATTAAAGGGAAATTGAATCTCTTAGCATTGCATTGAGACAGAGAATAGCACACTATTGCTTTTGATGAGAGAATCTTTACACACAGGTTTATTTGTGTCTATTTAATAGCAGTATTTTTTTATTGCTGCAATTCCTCTGGAGTGTCTATATTTGCTAGATTGAATTTTAAAACCCTAGCACAGTTGATTGCACCACCAGGCCAAGTATCATTCCAGAGAGGCATACAGAAAGCCTAAACCTTCAGGAGTTATGCCTGGTATGGGAAGTTGGCCCCTGTGCATTTTTATGGCTGCTAAAGAATACTGTTTAAAGTTTGTCAAAATCATAATTTCAGATTCCTACCGGGAAGCATGCTATCTGCAAAACATTTATGTATGTGTGGGATGACCTGAATTACAGCTTTATAATGAGTATTCCAGACAATGTTTTCCCTGAAAAAGAAATCTTATTTTTCAAAATATAGACGTTAAAAATAGTTTCATCTAGTGATGGTCATCTGGACTCCAGGGACTTGATCTTGGCGTCCATTCCTATCCCTCATGTGTTCCTTAACTTAGGGGCCATGTTACAGATTCTGTTAGGATCCTTTGTCTGGGTTGTTAAGACTCTGTGAAATGGTGCTGTCAGCAAAGATGAAAGTAACAAGTGATCATGCATTATGAACTAGAAATCCTTGAATGTTGCTTTTAACTCTAAACTTCTATAAGTCATTTCCATGTTCAGATATGGAATTCTTAGGGAGGAAAATAACAAATACTGAATGAAAATCAGGAGAACCGGTTTTCTGACTTTGTTTCTAAATAGCCCAATGACCTTGAGCCAATTATTTTACCTTTATTCCTTGACTCACTCACTTATAAAGTAAGTATCATTTTATGTCTGATAAGCATTTAATAGTAGTTGACATTCATGGAGCAATTTCTGCATGCCAGAAGTTGTTCTAAGTATCCAAAATAACACATTTGACCTTCATAATGACTCCATGAGGTAAGTACTGTAATGTTCCACTATTTTCAGGTAGGGAAATTAAGGCACAAAGTTGTTAATTAACCTTCCCAAGGTCACCTAGCCAACAGGTGATAGAGACAGGATTAGAGCCCAGGCATTCTAGCTCATGCTCTTAAACACTGTGTCATTCTGCCTATATCCTTCATCTTTTAAAAAAGTTTTTATTGACATATAGTTGATTTACAGTGTTGTATTAGTTTCAGGTAGTACAGCAAAGTGATTCATATGTATGTGTGTGTGAGAGCGTGTACAGCAACCAAACATATATATTTGTTCTTTTTTAACTTTCTCTTTTGTTGTGAGATGTTAAGAATAGTTCTCTGTGCTATACAGGAGGTCCTTGTTGGTTATCTGTTTTGTGTATAGTAGTGTGTGTATTTTAATCTCAATCTCCTCATTTATTCCTTGCTCCCTTCAGTAACCATAATTTCTTTTACAGTAACCATAATTTTGTTTTCTATCTCTGTGACTCTATTTCTGTTTTGTAAAGAAGTTCATTTGTATCATTTTTTACATTCCACAAGTAAGCAATTTCACATGATTTTTGCCTTTCTCTGCCTCGATTACTCCACTGAGTATGATCGTCTCTAGGTCCATCCATGTCGCTGCAGATGGCGTTATTTCGCTCTTTCTGAGGACTAATCTTCCATTGAGTATGTATGTATAACAGATCTTTATCCATTCAGCTGTTGACGGACACTTAGGTTGTTTCCGTATCTTGGCTGTGGTAAATAACCTGCTGTGAACATTGGCGTGCATGTATCTTTTTGAATTATGTTTTTCTCCAGATATATGCCCAGGAGTGGGGTAACAGAATCATGTGGTAACTCTGTTTTTAGTTCTTTTTAAGGAGGGTTCCTTTTTCTCCATATCCTCTCCAGCATTTATTGTTTGTAAACTTTTTTTTTTTTAACTGGGTTGGGTCTTAGCTGCACAGGGCCTCCATTGCATCGTGCAGGATCTTTTCATATGGCACACGGACTCTAGTTATGGTTCGAGGACTCAGCAGCTGTGGTGCATGGACTTCAGCTGTTCTGCAGCGTGTGGGATCTTAGTTCCCTGACCAGGGATTGAACTCACGTTCCCTGTGTTGCAAAATAGATGCTTAACCACTGGACCACCAGGAAAGCCCCTATTTGTAAACTCTTTGATGGACATTCTACCTGTAACCTTCTAAGTAATCCTATAAAAATCCTAGTTTCACTCAGAGTAGAATTATCAGTGCTGTGAAATCACTATCAACACTTATTAGTCTTTGTTTAGAATTTAATTTCAAATTAAATTAAATGGTTTAATTTCAAATTAAGCCATTAAACAAGTTCATGAAGCAACTTATATATGCCCAGCACCCTGCTGGGCAGTAAGAAAATAGAAACTTTTATTTGTGCTTTCAAAGGGATAGTTGATAAAATAAGGTCTACATATTTGGGGTAACTAGAGATGGTTAGGAGGTACCATTTTGTCTATAAGACCACAATTTTGCCTAAAGTCTAATGTGGCTTTGGAGAAAGTCTAATATACTGCCATTTTTGGCAAAGGCCTGAGAGATGAAG